TATATATATATATAAAATTTAAATTATCTTTTGTTAGTGCTCTATATAAACGTTAATTCGTAAAAAGCTAAAAAAAAATGAAAGCTATCTTTCATGATGATCAAAATATAGAAAATCGTTTAAAACTATTCACAACATATATGATTTAAATATTTTTTCCTTTAATGATACGCAATGTGAATCTAAATTTATTTGGCCACATTAGATACGGATTATAAGGGGGAAATAAGGAGCAAAACTGACCCCACTTTCACCATATTTAGTTAAATAATCTCCTCTCAACCCCTCCATTTACTTTTTCCCACTACAAGTTACACCCCACTACACACATGCACGACTCTTTCTTCCCCTAAATACCTGCCACTTCCCTTGTCTATAAAAACCCAACCACAATCCTCAAAACCCAATACTACTTCTCTCTTCTACCCAATAAAATCTCATTTCTCTGTTTGCCCAAGATCCAGGGCATGGCTACCTTTACACTTCCCTCTCTCTTTATTCTCCTCTCTTTGCTCTCTGTTGCTCATTCTGGATCCATTGGAATCAACTATGGGCGAATCGCAAATAATCTCCCTTCACCAGCCCAAGTCGTTCAGCTCCTCAAAACCCAAGGCGTTAACAGAATCAAGCTTTATGATACTGATTCCAATGTTCTCACAGCCCTTTCTGGCTCGAATATTTCAGTTACTGTTGCTCTCCCCAACGAGCAACTCTCTGACGCTGCCGAAAAACAATCTTTCACTGATTCATGGGTTCAGTCCAATATTCTAACTTATTACCCAAAAACCCTCATCGAATCCATTGCTGTCGGAAACGAAGTTTTCGTAGACCCGAAAAACACAACCAAATTTCTCGTACCCGCTATGAAAAACGTGTACGCATCTCTCGTTAAATACGGCGTCGCTGAATCAATTAAAGTTTCATCCCCTGTAGCTCTCAGCGCTCTGGGAAATTCCTACCCTTCGTCCGCCGGTTCTTTTAAACCGGATCTTGTCGAACCGGTTATTAAACCGATGCTGAGTTTCCTCAAACAAACTGGTTCTTACCTCATGGTCAATATATACCCCTTTTTCGCGTATGCTGCTAATACGGACACGATTTCGTTGGATTATGCTCTGTTTAAGGATAACAAAGGTGTAACGGACCCGAATAATGGGCTTGTTTACAAAAGCCTGTTTGAGGCCCAAATTGATGCTGTTTATGCAGCGTTGAAAGCTGTGGGTTTTGGTGACGTGGCAATGGCGGTTTCTGAAACTGGCTGGCCTTCTAAAGGTGATGAAAACGAAGCTGGTGCAGGTGCTGATAATGCTGCTGCTTACAACGGTAATTTGGTTCGTAGAGTGTTGACTGGAAGTGGGACCCCTTTAAAGCCCAATGAACCTCTTGACGTGTTTTTGTTTGCTTTGTTTAATGAGAATCAGAAGCCCGGCCCCACTTCTGAAAGGAACTACGGGCTTTTCTATCCTAATGAACAGAAAGTTTACGACATTACGCTTACAAAGGATGGTTTGGGGAATGGGCCCACCATGAATAACGGGAGTAAAAGCACGGTGGTGACTGCGCCGGAGCCGGCTTTGGAGGCGAGTAAGGTGGGGAACACGTGGTGCGTGGCCAATGAGAAAGCTGCACGTGAGAAGTTGCAGGCAGCGTTGGATTATGCTTGTGGTGAAGGTGGGGCTGATTGCCGTCCAATTCAGCAGGGTGCCACGTGTTACGATCCAGATACGCTGGAGGCTCACGCTTCTTATGCGTTCAATAGCTATTATCAGAAGAATACACGTGGGGTTGGCACGTGCGACTTCAGCGGAGCAGCCTACGTTGTCACTCAACATCCCAGTGAGTATTCCATTTGCTTCTCTTTCAACTATTGCAAAAATACGATTCAATAAGTCCATTATATTTTGATATTTAATTAGAAGGGTAGTTATAGAATACATATATAGAAGGTATTTTCTCATTTTATGTCGTCACTGAATCTCCTAGTGAGTATTTATTTTACTTATCTTACAATAGTACGTACAGAAATACATACAATGACACCATCATATTTTAATGTATATATTTAGAAGGGTAGTTGTAGAATAAATAGAAGGTCTTTTCTTATTTGGTTTATATTGTTTAGAAAATTGCTAGATGATCTACCCGTTACTATCCGTTAGGTAGACGATCTATTCATTGATTTGTTTATCAATCCTTTTATCCATTGGCATTATAATCATTACATAAATCAAATTCTTGTTGAATACATTAATTATATTATAATTATTTATTTTCTTAAAATACTATTGATTACTTGTCCAATTTGATTCGATAAATTCTTTTCTTCACATATTGCATGAGAGTAGGCAAACTTTAATTGACAAAAGTAGTCTTGACACTGTTAGAATTCGAGCTCGTGACTCTATAGTTCAACTTGTAGGCATTCTACCACTTGGTTGTATTTTTTAGGAATGACAAAACAACGTTCTTCATATTTATTAGAAAAGCTTTAACAATTTCATAAAAGACATACTATAATAAGTATGTTAGCAGAAAAGAAGGGTCGTATTTTCATATTTGTTGCAGAAATTAAAGTGTTTTTGACACTAACCAAAGATTGAATTTCTTCCTATTGCAGAATATGGCAGTTGCAAGTTTCCGACAGGATATTGATTTGGTCCGAGCTTTTGAGGAAGAATCTCAACTTATCAGATGAGGATTTGTTGAGAAAATTTGCCTGCAAATGATGGTCCTCGTTATTGGATAAAGGGGGCCCATTGGTGGACATTCTTTTCTTTAATAGTATTAATTATATTTATAGTATATTTTAGTATATAGTTCGTAGGTGGACGTTTGGTCTATGATACTTTGAAGATTTCTTTGTAATTATACCTACTTTGAATTAAATAGTGCTGAATTGTTTTAGACGCTATTTCATTGGTTTTTTATAGATATATGTCGGCAAAAGTTCATTTCCTTTTCATCTGTTGTTTTCTTTGTTCCACTTGAATGGGTAGCCTTAGTAAAATATATTACAGGTGAAAGAATTTGGTTCTCTAGATAGGATTATTATATACTCCCTTTCCCGTTTGTTCCAATTTAGGTGAATTTATTTCCTTTTTAGTCCGTTTCAAAAAAATGATCTCTTTCTAAATTTGATAACAATTTAACTTAAACTTATAATTCTACCATTAACGAAAAGTTTTTATAACCACACAAATACTCTGAACCTCTTTTTGACTTGTTTAGGACCATAAATTCCAAAAATCTTTATTTTTTTTAAACTTCATACCCAATCAAACATGTTCGCCTAAATTGAAACGGAAGGAGTATGTATTAGGAAGAGTAATAAACTAATAGGGGGTATTCGGCAAAGTACAAGTATATCATACATCATTTATAATAAAAGAAAAACGTCATGCCTTGTCAATAGACAATGTGTAGTCTATATCTTATTATTTTTTACCGAAACCATATGTCCATCAAAATATAGCTTCAAAATATTGAAAAAAGTCACGACCCAAATTTCGCATGTCGTGATGGCACCTATTTCAATACTAGGCAAGCTACTGATGTACACTCTCAAAACCTGGTGTCACTGAGTGCATGAGCATCTAAATGACAATACAGTCTGACTAATAAAAATACTGTCTGAAAATACAGAACAACACAATAACTGAAAGGGAGAGAGAGTCAAGGTCTGCAAATGCCGAGCAGCTACCTCGATAGTCTCTAACAATGAATCCCCAAATCTAGCAACTGCCGTATCCGGAAGTACCTGGATCTGCACACGAGGTGCAAGGTGTAGTGTGAGTACAACCAACTCAATAAGTAACAAGACTAACCTTTGGGCTGAAAGTAGTGACGAACTCAACAGGTACAGTCCAGTATAAAAATAACAGTACAGAAATATAGGCATGCTTTCACGCTCAACAGTTAAACTCAGTAGAAGTAAAATAGATATATTCTGCATGATATGAGGAATATGACATCTCTATATCTACATGCCAAAATATATGTTGTGTGTGACGTACCACAATGGAAAACCTCGTATACTCATACTCTCAGAATACTCAATCACTCAGTACTGTATACGGCCAATCCAGCACAGGGAACTCCTTCCCGAATATAAATAAATAAGGCAACTCCATGCCCAAGGAACTTCATCCCGAATAAAGAAACTGCGCTCACTGTGGGGGGGTGCAGACTCCGGAGGGGCTCCTTCAGCCCAAGCGCTATAATAGCTAGATCCAGGCATAAATAAATAAAACATGCTGCGACGTGCAGCCCAATCCCATAAATATCACTCAAAATCTCCGGTCTCTCGGGCTCTCAATGATAAGAAAATCAACCCGACATGATTTTATGATGTATCAATGAATGACAACAGAGACTGAGATGTGATATGCAATGATGGATGTGACTGAGTACATAATTTATATTTTTAAACAAATAATTCAACATCAAGACGGCCTCTATGGGTCCCAAAAATATCGGCACGTAGCATAAACATGATCTTTAACATGAGTCTCAGCTCAATTTCCTCTAACACGTGAAGGATATGTGGATAATTACATGATTATTTGATTATGCAACTCCACGGAATCAATTAAGGCACAATTTCTATGATGCACGCCCACACGCCCGTCACCTAGCATGTGCGTCACCTCCAAACAATCAATATAACATGTAATTCAAGGATTTATACCCTCAGAACCAAGTTTAGAAATATTACTTACCTCAAACCGTGTAATTCTTTATTCTAATATGTCTTTGCCTCGCGAATCAGCCTCCGAACGCCTCGAATCTACTCACAATTAATTCGATTCAGTCAAAACAAATTATAAGAATTAATTCCATATGAAAATACTAATTTTCCAATAAAATCTGAAATTCCACTCAAAATTCGTTAGTGGGGCCCACGTCTCGGAACCCGATAAAAATTATAAAAATATGAACGCTCATTCAACCACGAGTCCAACCATACCAAATTTACCAAATTCCGACATCATGTCACGCCCAGAACTAGGGGGCGAGACCGGCACCCAGTGCCTCACCTAACCTTACGTACCAACTTGAGACTAAGGAACTCTGAACATGTGATGTCATACTTTGGCCATGGGCCACATTGCAAGACAGCTGCGAATGCTGACTAAATATCAATATAAATCTGGGCCGACAAGGCCGTCATAACTACTACAGCTGGCAAACCAACAAAATATACATAGAAGGCCTACCAGCCCAACATACTGCACTAACTGACAGGATATGTCTACAAGCCTCTACTGGTGGATATACTGTGATCGGAACAGCTCCCCGACCTACTCATATCATAAATACATATATATACAAGATGTACATAAAGCTCTAGACCCGGCAACTCCGAAAGGCATGGAGCTTACCGATCAAGCTGAACTCGGGCAACACTTAATGAGGAGGTCTACCCGTCTGTCTGTCTGAACCTGCACGCATGAAATGCAGCGTCCCTAGAAAAGGGACGTCAGTACGAAATAATGTACCGAGTATGTAAGGCACTATACTGAAAGTTGAAACTGAAACTGATAATATAATAACTGAAAACAACTGGAAGTCAATGATAATCTGAAGATATGCTTACCTGCTGATACTGACTCAACTCTCTCAATATAGTAAGTAAAATAGTTGTCCGGCCTTATAAGACTTGGTATATATATAACTGCTATGCCATAGTAGGCTCGCTCATAGGCGCTCGACCATATTAGGCTCTGTATCTCGGCCAACTGGGCTCGCTCATAGGCGCCCGGCCATAATAGGCTCGGTATATAACTTACCATCTGATCAGAGGTTGCCCAATAGGGGCCTGCCCATCGATTATAACTCGATGGTAATGAAAATACTGTAATACTGCATATATAGGCTCTTTGCTCTCTTGACTAGAACAAGACAAAACTCAATTGAATATGAAGTCCCGATAAGGAGAATATTATAACTTACGAGACTAGAAAAATATACATAAATTCTGGAATATAAATTTCTCTTTATGTCTCGTTATCAAACGCATGTAATTACGTGATCATGCCAAAATGAAGGAAGGGCTTAGCCTTAACATACCTGAGCCGATTCTCTTGACAATCCTTCCAACACATGTCAATTTCGACAACACGTAACGGCGGATCGAAATAGGAGAAAATTCATATGATATTCTTGAGAAAAATTGTACCGTACCCTCTTAGAATTATAAATCCCGTTGCTATTACGCAGTGTAACTTTATATGAAAATTTTTGCCCAAAATCCATCACTTTTCTTGATTAATTCGCGTTTCTTTGTGATCAATTTGAAGTCTTAGAGAGTCTTTGAATGCCAAGCTTCATCCGTAAGCTTTTTGGCAAATTTATGTACTTTGCTCTTAGTTATACATAACAATCCTTGTAGGCCACCACTTCTTCTACACATGCCACATGGTATGTAAATGAATAGTCATCATTTGGGCTTTATATGGCTGCCCCATCATGCTTAGGAATTATCCAAATCATTATTAATTACCAATTTTTTAATTAACTTGATAATTCCCCACTAATCCAATAATTAATCAATTATTCATATAATTAAGAATTATCTCAAATGACATAAAATACTACTCACTTTTAATACACTTTATACACCTTACTACCATGGCCATGTGGTACCTTGTATGGTACTAGTCCATAAATACCGGGTATTTTAGCTCAGGCCGTATTTTATCCCAAAATATCAAACTTCGACAAAATTCATTTGTTTCGATTCGCTTACCCTCTCGCCTTCACGAATTTACTTATTCCTTATTTGAAATAACATAATACTTATAATCTCAAAATAATCTCATTCCCAAGCTTACGTCGATTAACTTACGACGAAACTTTAACGTACAAAAAAATGCGAGATGTAACATCTCATTTTCGAGCTTATATCAATTTACTATGTCGTACTTTCACGTACGAAAATATGGGGTGTAACATCATTCCCCCCTTTGGAACATTCGTCCTCGAATGTTGACTAACGCACTTATCATTCTCATAACCCATAGCTCTTGCGAATACCTTAGTACTCTCCTTGCCATTTAGGCAACTGTTCTTTGAATATACTCAAAGGCCAGGGAATTCTCCCCTTTAGGCCTCTTTCTCACACCACGACTTGTGGTCAGAATCCTTCCAATCCCGTAACTGTTGCTACCTTCTATCATGCAGCCTGTACGATTCTGACCTTGTAAATGTGCCTTTGCGACTCTTCTCTCTTTTTTCCTCTAGCTTTTAGCCAATCTCTAGGCCTCACTTTGTAAACATATATAGAGCTTGATAAGATGTCTCTCCGGACATCTATAGGTATACTGAAGTTCTTTGCTCGATACTTTGTTGAACTTACGAATATTGCTATATCTTATTTCATAGACCCGTTTATCCATTCGTATGACTTTACTACATCTAGGTAGGCCATACTATACCATAACTTTTACTTCGATTTATTGTTGCTGAGGTCTACTACCAAATTTCAGCTTACCCCTGTTGCTTATCCCATATGTATAAATATAAGTCTTTTAATACTTCCTCATTACTGTTCATCGTAAGAATGATGACCTAATCTCATCTTATACTTTGTGACTTTTGTCCATCCATTATTGATTCGCCTCAATATTGATCTACAATATACCACTGATAACTTGAAACTTCTTACGTAATACCTTGCCACTAGGGCTTACGTTGCATAGGAATATTTGAAGTGACTTTCCTAATCCACCTGGGGGCGATACGATACTATACTTCCATAATCGTATTTCATAGCATCCCAATGTGATTTTTCTTATGTGGGTATTTTAATCATGTACAATTCATCAAATCATTACTCAATCGAAGGTCCAAACGTCATCCTTTATCTATCACAACTACACCTTTATTCTACTACCGGGGAAGCATTCCATCTCTTCTAAATGCCACTAGTCTTAGACTCCTTTGAGTTTATTCAGGCTAT